CAGACAGTTGTGAGCTGCCATGTGGGTGCTAAGAATTGAACCCGGGTCCTCTGGAAGAGCAGGCAGTGCTCTTAAATGCTGAGCTCCTGGGTTCAAGATTTTTAGGCTCCACACATTAAGTGACATCTTGTGGCATTTGTCTTTCTGTGCCTGGCTAACTTAACATAATGTCCTGAAGGTTCTCCATGTTGCTCCAAACAACAGCATTCCCTTCCTTTTTTAAGGCTGAATAGTATTCCACTATATGTTTACACCACAGTTTCTTTGCCTAGTCACCCGTCAAGGGACATTCAGGATAAATTGTATCTTGGCTATTGTGAACAGTGCTGAAAAAAAAAAAAAAAAAAAAAAAAAAAAAAAAAAAAAAACCTAATAAAAAAAAAAAAAAAAAACAACCTACTGGGTTCATTTCCTTTGGAGAAGTAGGATTGCTGGATCCATCTCACCTCTTCCTGCCAGACCCCCCTGTATCTCAAAGAATGATTCCCAGTACCCTCCAATGGTCATGGCTGTGGCCCCAGAACCTTGCCTCCTAAACTGATATTTAAAGGGACACAGGCTAAAATGGGGTAGATACCACCCATAACCTGAGTTCATGCACTCTGCCAACTGAGTTACATCTCCAGCCCATTTGGGGTTTTTCTTATATTTTATTTCAGTTTTTGTGGTTGGGGACTGAAAGGGGCCTTGGGCATATTAAGGGAAGTGCTCCAACACTGAGCTACATCCCAGCCTCGCAGGCGAGTTTATTAAAGCCTCAGCTCGTTCTGTGAAACAGTGGCCACAGACTTCCTTGCTCTCCATGGTGGCCGTACACAAGGCAGCTCCAGCTGAACTCTGAGAAGTCAGTGATCCCATGAGCCGATAATGGCTACACCCACTCCTACCCACTCAAAGCCAACCTTGTAGCACCTATCTCTTCTAATAACAGAGGGTCCAAAGAGGAGGCTCGCCACTAACTCAGAAACTGTCATGTGGAACCCCACCTGATCCTGTCTCCATAGCTTAAGCATTGCCAGGTAAACCAAGCATCCCCGTGTGTCTCACGTCTGGACATTATAAACAAGCTGAGTTTGTGTCAGAGAGGTACAGCTCTGCAATCCTCAAGATCGACAGCTGTCTCCTGGAAATCCCTGTCCTAGCCTGGGGTGCAAGTGCCGGAAAGCAAGGTCAAGGTCCCCTCTGTGGGTTGTATGTTGCTTTCTGTCGTATCTCTTTTATTCAGAAAATGTTCTCAACCATTTTCTTTTTATAACTTTGACTTTTTTTTTTCTTTTTTGAGATGGGGTCTTGCTATATAGCCCAGGCTGCCCTTGAACTCTTGATCCTCCTACTTCATCCTCCCAAGCGCTGGGGTTATGGGGGGGGGGTGTCATCACATCCAGCTCATTTTGACATTCGGAAGAGTGCAGGAGAGCTGTTTCATATAATGACTCTTTATAGTTTATGTGTATGGCTGTCTTGCCTGCATGTATGTCTCTGTGCTGCTTGTGTGCCTGGTGCCCACAGAGACCAGAAGAGGGCATCAGATCCCCTGGTACTGGAGTTACAGATGGTATGAGCTGCCTAATGTGAAGCTTGGCAGCCTGAGTTTGATCCCCAGAACCCACATCAAGGTGAATGGAAAGGGGTGTCAATGTGGACCGAGCTCCAGGAAGCAGGCGACCAGAGCTCCCGCTGTGTGCTCTGAAGCACGTGCCTCCCTTCTCTGGACCCCAACCTTCCCATCTGAATGATGGAAAATTTGACCTATCAATTCCATCATGGAATGAGTCAGAGCAAGAGGCTGGAGCCTGATCTCTAGAGCTGAAGTGATACTGACCTTGTTCTTGTGACGACCTTGGAGGCATGGGTCCAAGCAAGAGGCAGACAAGGCCCCCTCTCTTTCATCCCAGTAAAAGAGGCTTCAAACAACCATGGGCATACACATGAAACAGAATATCAGGGACGCAAAGTGCCTGCGAGAGAACTAAAGTAGGGTAAAAGGATTCACGGGAGCCAAAGCTGGAATGCTTTCAGCAGAGATGGGCAAGGCGGGCCTCTCTTGTGAGTAGAAAACCGAAGTGAATAAATGACAGAACAAAAAATAGATGGGGGGGGGTAGAGAGATGGCCCAGCAGTTAAGAGCACTGACTGCTCTTCCAGAGGACCTGAGTTCAATTCCCAGCACTCACATGGCAGCTCACAACTGTCTGTAACTCCAGTTCCAGGGGATCTAACACCCTCACACTAATGCATGTGAAGTAATATCAAATAAATTATATATATAAAAAAAAAATCTGCCAGGCGGCAGTGGCACATACCTTTAATCCCAGCACTCAGAAGGCAGAGCTAGGGGATCTCTGTGAGTTTGAGGCCAGCCTGGGCTACAGAGCGAGATCCAGGACAGGCACCAAAACTACCCAGAGAAACTGTCTTGAAAAAGAAAAATTAGATCTGATAGCATATGCCTGCGATCCCAGCACTCAGGGGATAAAAACAGTAGGATTAGAAACTTAAGGTCATCCTTAGCACATGATGAGTGTGAGTCCAGCCTAGACTACATTAGGTCCTGCATTATCAAAAATAATAAAACACAAGCAAACCGTAGTAAAGCAAGTCATGGGCAAGCATAGAGAGCAGCAATACAAAGATCCTGGAGAGCACTTGCCAGGTGAGAGGCACAAAGAGCAGGTGACTTCTGGGCCTGGAAGTATGATGGGCAGGAAGGAGGAGAAGAGGTGGGAGGCGGGCAGAAGACAGCTGGTGGAGGCCACCTCACTGCACGGTGGAGCTCCCATTGGGAATGGCTAGCCCGTGGAGGGAAAGGAACAGGTTTCACGACCCCATCCGATTTATTTTTAAAAGGGTCCATTTTAGCCACTGCTACGAGTGGACTGTAGGGAATGAGTTGGAACAATCCAGCCAGCAAGACAGGAACTACACTAGATAATGGAAGACCAGGGGAGCTGGATGCAGAGAAAGAACAGACAGGAGATGATGAGGCGATCCAGCAACAGCAAGGAAGCCATCACTGCCCACCACCCCGGAGGCTGGGGGGGGGATGGGAGGAGACAGCTAAGGGGCCAGGTTCATCTTGCAGACACAAGAGCACAGAGGAGGCTCAAAGGTACAGGGTGAGAAGCTGTCTTCCACGGAGGGCCAGGCTAAGCGCCAGAGGGAAAGCATCCTGGCTTCCTCCTACCTCCCACTCTCCAGTGTTCTGCTGATTTCACTTCCATTGGCTGACTATTCATCCCTCCAGAGAAGCCTGGGAAGACAGAGCAGGTAGAGGTCGGTAGAGTGGAGAAGGAACTAAGGGCAAATCAGATGTGCAGCTTGAGGTGCGGGAGCAAAGGCCAGACCAGTTAGGAGGGTGCTGGGTGGACAGCAGCAGCGGCAGGGAGGAGATAGTGATAGGAAACAAGTGGATCCCCAGGATTGATTGATTGATTGATTATTTTGGTTTTTCAAGACAGAGATTTTGTGTTACAGCTCTGGCTGTCCTGGAACTCACTTTGTAGACCAGGCAGGCCTGGAACTCACACAGATCCACCTGCCTCTGCCTCCAGAGTGCTGGGATTAAAGGCGTGTGTCTCCACCGCCTGGCTGGATTCCCAGGATCTTGGTGGTGGATTGGATGGGGTGTAGGAGAAAGGAAAGCTAGAAAGTTAGGAAGCTCTATCATGAGGAGCAATTTTCCAAGAAGATTCTGCAAGGAGCCATTCAAGAGTCCTGGTTCTGTTCAGGACACAACATGTTTGAGATGCCCGTTAATCAAAGTCCTGGGGAGACTCAAGTCTGGGTCAAGGGAGGAGGCCCTTCAGACACCTGATAGGTTCTCGGTGTCTAGGCAGGTTTTTGCCATGGGACTGGGTGACTGTAACCTGAGCATGTGACCCACTGCAGTTGTAGGGCTTTCCTGGAGCCACCTACCTGGGGGGGGGGTAGGAATAATACATACTGACTGGCCAGGACTGAGCGTTTTGCCTTTGTTTGTTTGGTTGGTTTAGTTTTTCCAAGACAGGGTTTTTCTATGAAACAGCCCAGGCTATCCTGGAACTCACTTTGCAGACCAGGCTGACCTCAAACTCACAAAGACCTCTCTGCCTCTGCCTCTCTGCCTCTCTGCCTCTGCCTCTGCCCCTGCCCCTGCCCCTGCCCCTGCCCCTGCCCCTGCCCCTGCCCTGCTGGGATTAAAGGCACCACCGCCCAGTTTTATGCGGAGACCTTTACTCAAGCTGCAAGTCCTGAGGCTGGGAAGGGGTAGTTTCCTAATGCACACACAGGGTGCTTTTTAGAAGACAACTGGTTTGCCAGCAGTGAAAGCACTAGACCACCCAGTACTAGATCAGCCAAGCATCTGTTTTCTGCTAAGGCCTCACATTTACAAGGTGAGGTGCCAAGATAACATTGGCTGAGCAACCACTCCGTGCCATGCCCTGAGACTTTTCTCTCCTTCCCTCAGAAACTCCGGAGGGTCCAAGCAAGCCTAAAAGTTCTCCTGACTAATTCCTCAAGAAAAGTACTGCCTGACCTAACTACCCCCAAGTCTGTCTGTTTCCCTCTCTACCTTCCCACGCCCCGCCCCCCTGCACGCACAAGGCACAAGGCAGGGAAGGGTCTAGGCTCAGTAAGCTGTACCCTTGGGCAGCTTCACAGAAGAGCCTCCAGTCTCCAGCTGGCAGCTGCTAGGACCAGGGGGGTTGGCACCAGGCCCTGCCCCTCCCTTACTAGCTGTGTGTCTCCAAAGGGCAGCATCAGAGTGACAGCCGGTACCATCTCCGCAGAGGCTGAGTTGCTGGAGCTGGGCTAGGGCAGGGGGAGAAAGCCCAGCCAGGCTCAGCCTTGCATCCATCCATAGGGCCCACCAAACCCCAGAAGAAGATGGCAGCCTGGGCATCGGAGTCACCTCCTGGGCAACCTACGAGGTGAGGGGCCCCCCCGAGGAGCACGGGACAGGTTATGGGAATCCTGGCGCTGGAGGCTCCATTTCGCTCTCCCTACAGCAGCCCCAGTGAAGCCTGAGCGCTCAGACGGCTAACAACACGGGGATGAGCGCCACCGAACTCGCGGGCTCGGTGGGGTTGATCCTGGCGGTTCTCGTAGAAGTGGGGGCCGTGCTGGGCAACGGCACGCTGCTCGTGGTGGTGCTGCGCACGCCCGGGCTGCAAGATGCCTTCTACCTGGCGCACCTGTGCGTTGTGGACCTGCTGGCAGCCGCCTCCATCATGCCTCTGGGCCTGCTGGCCGGGCCGCCCGGGCTGGGCAGTGTGCCCCTGGACCCCTCATCGTGCCGCGCCGCGCGCTTCCTCTCGGCGGCTCTGCTCCCCGCCTGCACGCTCGGCGTGGCTGCGCTCGGACTGGCGCGCTACCGTCTCATAGTGCACCCGCTGCGGCCAGGCGCGCGACCGGCACCGGCGCTAGTGCTCACCGCGGTGTGGGCGGCGGCCGCGCTCCTGGGCGCGCTCTCCTTGCTCGGGCCACCTCCCGCGCCGCCTCCGGCTCCGGCTCGCTGCTCCGTGCTGGCCGGGGGGCTCGGGCCCTTCCGGCCGCTCTGGGCGCTGCTGGCCTTCGCACTGCCCGCCCTCCTGCTGCTGGCCGCCTACGGTAGCATCTTCCTGGTGGCGCGGCGCGCCGCCCTCCGGCCCCCGCGAGGGACCCGGCTCCGCTCCGACTCTCTGGACAGCCGCCTCTCCTTCTTGCCATCCCTCCGGCCACGTCTACCCGGGGGCAAGGCGGCCCTGGCCCCAGCTCTGGCCGTGGGCCAGTTTGCAGCCTGCTGGCTGCCTTATGGCTGCGCGTGCTTGGCGCCCGCGGCGCGCGCTGCAGCCGCCGAGGCGGCGGTCACCTGGGTAGCCTACTCCGCCTTCGCCGCTCACCCCTTCCTCTATGGCCTGCTGCAGCGCCCGGTGCGCTTGGCGCTGGGCCGCCTCACTCGCCGGGCGCTGCCTCGGCCCCCGAAAGTCCGCATGCCGCAGGCCTGGCACCCGCGGACACTCCTTCAGCGCCTCCAGGGACTGCGCAAGGACCCTGCCCTAGGCCCTTCCGAGGCACCAGAGCAGACCCCAGAATTGGCAGGACAGAGCTCGAGTGTGTCAGAGGCCACCTGAGAGCTTTCTCCTGAGCTGAAGAAAGGTGGGATCAGAGGGGCACATCTCCCCCCTGTACAGGCTATGGCGGGCACCGTGCCCGGACTGCTGGCTCTGAAACCGGAGACAGGGTGGTGCTCAGTCTCAGGAACCTGATTCTGAGCCCGATACTACCTGTGTTCCTTTCCCGGGGCCTCGGTTTTCCCATCTGTATCCTGTATCCCATTTCCTAAGGACCTCCCCAGGGCAGGCTTTTTAAATTCATAGCTACTCCCTGGCCCAGAGGGGAGAGATGCAGGCACGGTCACAGAGAAGAGGGTCCTAAGAGCTCACAGCCAAAGAATGAGCGAAGCGGGACAGGGTCTGGGTTACAGCCACAGCAGTGGAGAGACGTTCAGAAGATATCCCCGCCATCTGTGCCACGGAGACGTCGGACAGTTTGACTCGAAGTCATTACTTAAATGGTTTGGTGCTAAAGGCGGGAGACGGAACACGTGACCCCTGAAAGGGTCCTGCGATTTCATCCCAGAACGGACATGTGGAAGGGGCGGTGGACCAACCAGGACTGGTGGGTTCATGGTTTGGGGTCCTGCGGGGTTTCAGCTACACCCGGTCCCTGGAAGTTTTGTCACCCCAACACCAGTATTATTTCACGGCTTTCTGGTCGCTGAGAATATTTATTCAAAAACAGGGATTGAAAAAACTGTACAGAGAATCTGCTGCTGAGAACTGGGCCCCTGCCCCAGGCCGCTCCCCACCGGCTACAGGCAGAGCCCTCTCTTTGGGTTGCCCCCGACAAGCCCAGCCAGTCTATTCCAGTCAAAAGGGTATCAGTGGAAGCAGCATGATCTGCAGGGGGTGAAGAGAAGCTTGGCCCCGGCCACCCCTCACTCTCCTCCAATTCCCGCGGGGGGCAGTAGGCTGAAAGCCCGAAGGGATGGAGGACATGAGGGGACCTCCCACGGCGGGGCACTAGGGAGGCCCCGGACATTCCCGGCATCCAAGCATAGGTCTGAAGGGGTGGAGCCCCCGCTCTGGGGCTGCCACAGCTCCTAGAACCCTGGGCCAGAAACTGTCCCCTCTCTGAGGAGGAACCCATAGACAGGGCAGGGTAGGGGGTGCATCCATGCGTCTGGCATTACTGGCGCTTGAGACTCCATGGTAGAGTCTCCTTGGGCAGGAAGGATGTGGAGGCAGCCCCTGCCGGCGGTCCTGCCTGCCCCTGCCTGGGCCTCAGCCGGCCTCAGTAGGGGGAGAATTTCTGCCGTTCAGCTTTCTTGCTCCCATTGGCCGCTGCCATCTTGGCAGTGTAGGCCGCCAAGCCCGGCGGTGGCCCTGGGGAAGCAGGTGGTAGAGCCAGGAAGGGCACGGGCTTGAGGCCGATGAAGTTGGAGAGGGAGATGGCATAAGGTGTACCCAGCAGGCCTGGGGGAGCTGTGGGCAGGGCCGTCAGGGGTGGCGAGAAAGGGGTGGGCAGGTCTGCGGGGGCTGAGCCAGGTGTCCCCCCAGAGGTAGACTTGGCCGTCTCTAGACTGGAGAGAGGGACACAGAGGGGACATGGAGGAAAGGTAGGGGTGAGACACGGGCCATGAGGTTAGCCAAAAGACAGGCGAGGAGTCGAGTGGAGAGCAATGGCATGGGGCGGGTGTTTGTGGGGGAAGGACAGGAAAGGGAGAAAGGGAGGGAGGGCAGCAAACACAAGCAGACAGAACCTGGGTTAAGAGGAGAAACAGGAAACACCACATGGGAAGACAGACGTGAGGGGTGGATACAGAAGTAGTAATGAGGCAACGTGAACGACTTAGAATACCGCAGGGAAAGGAAGGGGGCTGAGGAGCAGCAGGGGACTGGCCCCGAGTGACAGGAGGCTACCCCTTCCCCCCACCTGTGTTCTTCTTCCACAGCCCACCCCATGCTCACCAGGCAGTGATGAGGTACTGAGCCAGGGCAATGGAGACCGGTGAGCCAGTGATGGTCACATGCCGCTCCCCAGCACCCTCTGCTTGGTTTCCAATCTTAATATGTGCCCCTGACATCTGCCGGATCTCGCTGATCTTGCTGCCCTGGCGTCCGATCACACAGCCAATCAGCTAGGGGGAAGGCAGAATTTAACCCTGAGCAAGGTCTAGGCCCCTGGATCCCTGCACCGCCCTCCAGCCCCCCACCTTCTGCTCACATCGTTGGGAACCAGGAACTCCTGGGAGCTGGTCTGTGTGCTGGGATCCAGTCCTGGGGCAGAAGAAAAGGACTGAGCATGGTTGGTGTTTTCCATGGGCCTCCCACGTCCACTGCAAGGGATGCCCAGCTCCCCGTCTCCTTTAGCAGAAACTGCTTACCTGGCACCACACTGGGTGAGGCGAAGGGAACTGCATGGCCTGAGAGCTGCTGGAGCTTGGTGACCTGGGCCAGAGAACAGGGTCAGAGGTTGGGGGGGGGCAATTCAGGAAGGGGCATCCCAGGCTGGGGGTCACTCACCTCTGCAGGGGCCACTGCCCCATACTGACCCTGGACAGAGAAACCCTGTGGGGACAAAGTGGTTGAAAAGGGAGCTGCTATGACAGGTCAGGATAGCTTGGCCAGATCACTCCCCGTACCTTCCTCAGACCCCCCAACTCTTTATTCCACCCCCTCCTCCATCTTGATCCCCCCCCCCTTCTCCAGTAAGGGTTCGAGCCCCTCCTGGCGCTTCCTCACCTGGTTGGCGGAGAGAAGGACAGTACCTAGGGAGAGGCTTGGGTGATACGGGATAGTGGCTCCTTTGGGTGGGGACTAGAAGGCACAAATTGGGAAGCTTTGTCAGGATCAGGCCTCCCCAAGAACCCAATGGCCTTGAGGCATTCCCACGGCTCCCATGGAGATGTATCCCAGAGTACCCCGAAGCTGTGGCTGTGGCTCTGCCTGCTCCACCCCACCTGATATTACAGCCATCAGATCTGAGGGTGACAAGCACCTGGGACCCTCTCCTGCCCTCCCCCTGACTACCCTCCTCCCCCAGGCCCCTCACTCCGGGAAGCACCTCCAGAATAACAGCACAGATCTGGCGCACACACAGGATGATGGCATCAGGCACCCCAGAGACGGTGACAGCACGCTCTGTGGAATTGGGGAGCAGGTCCCCTGCCACCTGTACCTGGGCTCCCGTAGTCTACAAACAGAAAACAGTGTCCACTTCTGTCGACTCCAAGCGCCCAGACAAAGGCCACAAGGTCCTAGAGCTCTAGTTCCCTTTCCCATTGGCGGGTAGAAGACATGCGCTCACCTCTCGGATCTCCTTGATTTTGGTACCTGCCTTCCCAATCAGTGATCCACACTGGCTGGCAGGGATGACAAGGCGCAAGGTCACTGGAGGCCTGGAGACACTGCCACCGTTTGCGGGAGCTGCACAGAGGTCCTGGGACAGAGGGACAGTGAGTCGGCCAGGTGCGCCCCGCGACTCTCCTACCCTCCCCCAAGTCCTTTCCTGAAGAGGGATAAGGAGAGTGCCTCCTCCCCAGACCTCCTCCAAGGGAACATGGCCTTGGACTTGACCTTCCCTCCCCCATAGCCACTATCTGGAGACAGGGTCAGGTTTCTCACAGGCAGCCACCCTCAGACTCCCACCCCAGGCAGGCACAAACCTCATCCAGTTTGAAGGCAATCATGGAGACCGCATGGAACACGGCGGCTGTCGATCCAGTGATGGTCGTGATTCGCTCAGGGCAGGAGCCCTCGGAGATGGTGATCCTGGCACTGCTCTGCAGGTGTGCACAAGGACTGGGCAGCAGGCAGCTTCCCCACCGCGGTGCCAGGGATCTGTCTGCCTGGCCCACTCACTAGGCCCCAGCCAAAACTAGAAACTGGCATTCTTCTGGGCACTCCGTTATCCCAGGTGCAGTGATTCAGGGAAAAGGACGGCCACCTCCCTTCCCCTCCACACCAGGGCCCTGGCTCCTCCCCTGACCCCACTTTTACCTGCTCCCGGATTCGCTTTACAGTCTCTCCCTTCTGTGGGAGACAAAACCAAGATTCCTAAGTGGTCACCTCTTAACCAGGGCTGAGGCTCACGTTGAGGGGAATACACAGAGCAGAACCGGACACCTACCTTCCCAATGATGCTGCCCACCTCCTGCAGAGATAACAAGAGTGGACTCAGATGGGTATGAATGGCCCAGGCCCAGCTCCTCCTGTCCCTCGGGCAGGAGAGCAGCCTTGAGACCAGACATGTGCCATCACTGGGCATGCCAACTCCACCCACTCACCTTCCCATGCATCAGCATCCGCAGCGTGAGGGTGATGCTAAGCTCCGGCTCCTCCTCCAGCCCCGCATCTGAACTGCTCATCCTGTCAGGCGGGGCTGGGGCCACAGCGGCCTGGGAGTGTGTCCACGCTGTGGCTCAGCTGGCTCTGGACAGGGCAGCAGAAAAGAGTCTGAGAGGAGCCCTAGTTACCCTACCACTGCTCCGACACGGGGACCCCAGAGCCAGGCCACCCAAACTCAAAGAGGAGGGAATAGCATGGGCCTTGAGTTCTAAATGTCCCTCTGACCAGTGTATTTGGGTGCACCTTCTTGGCTGAGTAATCCTGGTCATTTAAGCCTCTAGGGCCCCAACCTAGAAAATAATTACCGAATCCTACCCTCCAAATTCATGAGAGTTAAAAAATGAGACAACCACATGACAGATACCCAGTGTCCCTGACTTGTTCCCTTCCTCCCAAGAATTATAAGATGGCAGGAGATTAGAGCTCCGTGGTGGAATGCTTCCTAGAATATATGCTGTCCTAGGCCTGAGCACCAGCACGGCGGGGAGGGGGAGTTAATGGAGAGGTCAGCTATGAGCAACCATAGGATAGCTTCCTCCTTCACTTGGAAGGGAGGACCCTTGTAGACTGAGCCCCCACTGTGGAATTAAGATTGAAAGTTTACTCTGGACCAGGCATAGCAGCACATGCCTATAAACCCAGGATGCACCCAAGCTAAGGCAGGAGACTCTCTCATTCAAGGGTAGCCTGGGCTCTGTAGTGAGACCCTGTTTCAAAAAAAGAAAGAAAACTTGACTCTAAATAGGAGGTACTTGCTTCCAAAGGCCAGGGCTAGCTGACTGACTTAACAATGGTGGAGAAGAGGCCAAGGAAGAGGCTAGAGCCTGGCAAAGGTTTGGGGCAGGAGCCCCATGAGACGATCTCCCATGGACTTCGGGGTCATTAGAGGAGAGGGTCACTGCAGACAGCTCTGGGCATGATCCACTCAACACTGACATGGGGAAAGGGAGGCTCTCTCTACAGTGGTGTCTCTGGTGCATTTCCTAAGTTCTCAGAAGGGCCCTGTGCACACAGGCGGTAAGAAGTGTGAAGACTGGCCACATACTACCCTACCTAGAACCAGAGACATGAAACTGGGGCTCTGAGGCTAAATGTCCACACACATCAGAGAGGATCTGGGTAATGGGTAAGAGGAGGATTTGGTGGGCTGCAGGAATGTCAAGGCCATTAACTCATGGAGCGAGGCCGAGCCTGAGATTAGCTCCTGGGATTAGTTTAGCCGCCAACCCTCCCCACCCGACCCCTTTCCATGCCTCAACTTAATCCCGAACCTTAATCCTCCTCAGAAATCCCTCAGCAGCGGCTGTCTCCCGCCAAGGCCCAGCCTTGGTGGTGAACTCACTGGGGACCAGAACTCAAGGAGGCCAGACCGTGGAACCACTGGTGCCAACAGAGAGTCTGGACCCAGACATCACTAACCATAGGAATCCTGTCTAGGAGGGTGTTGGGACAAAGGATAAGTGGTCCCCAGTGGGAGTACTTTGGAGGACTCAGGTCACCTTTGCTGGTCCTCTGTCCTATCTGGACATGAGAGTCAAGGTTTCAGAGCTCTCCCAAAGCCTTCCTCTGAATGTCTTGCGCCAGCCAGAGTTTGGGTACGGAGTGGTTAGGGATTCCCAAGCTCGCTTTTCTCTTGGATACCTGAGTGAGCCACTGTACCAAAATGCAGTCTCCTTTCCTCCTTGCAATGGGGACAATCGGGATGGCGGCGTTTGTTCCTAAGTGCTTTTTCCCGGGTGCCCGCTTCTTCCGCTTGAGTTCTGCCACAGACTCACCGGCGGGCGGAGACCAGCAGTAGATTTGGGGCCTGTGTTCTTTGGGCATCCTGGCCAGCCTCGCGCTGGCTGCCCTTGCTGGACATTCCCCTGGCTGCCTGCACTTCCCCCATCAAAGCGTCTGTGATGACGTGCATACTTTCTGTCTCCCTGGACAGCCAAGCCCGGGAGCCCCTTAGAACAGGAGCCAAAGCTGCCACCTTCTCCTTGTGTCCCCAGGGCTCAGTTCAGAGCCAGGCTAGAGAGGGTGCTCAGACACACCAGTGACGGTAGCAGATGAATTTGCTCCACAGGACGGGAACCTAATACATAGAGGGTCTGTAACCTGCCCAAGGTCACAGAAAGAAAGGGTGTAGCGGGAAGAGCAGGGCGCAACAAGCTACTGTAGGACCGGACCGGGCTCCACCTGTGATCTAGTCTCAGCCTTTAGCCTTTTCTGAAGTGGGGTTTAGACTTCGGTGGCCCAGGGAGCCTCTGCCTGGCCAGTGGATGTTCATCCTGTTTGGAGAACAGTGACTGTTTATTTGAGGACGTATAATCTTAAGCTCCAGAATTCCGTGGACTCTCATTGGGTGATAAACAGTGGGAGATCTGAAAGCAATCTTCCTTTCATCTCCTCACTTCTGGTGACCCCCAGGAAAAATGGAACGTGGGTGGAACTGTTAGTCTTGCTATGAAGACGCCTAGGACTGCAGCAGAGACCCACTGCCCCAAATTCAATAGGTGACCTTGACCTAGCTCTTCCCTGGCCTGGATCCGGATTTACCCACCTGCACTGTTTGGCGAGTCGGGGTAAGGGAGAGTTGCTGGCATCTCCGTGACCCTGTTCTGAGAGACAGTTGAGTTTCTCCTATCTTCTGGAAAGAATGAGGCTCCTGACCCTCCTCCGGGCCTTTCTCTCAGAGCCCTAAGCTTACGTAGCCACACTGGGCATTCATTACCAGATGCCCTGCTCTCCCTGGGCTTTTAAGGAGTATCTTGCTGCTTCAGTCTGGTGGGCCCCAGGTCTCTGCTGGGCCACCCACGTGGCAGCCACACATCATGCCACACTGACCTCCAGCTCACCTCTGAGGGTGCCCAGCCCCCTCCGGTCAGCAGAGCTCCCTGGCAGAAAGAACATCCCACACTCAGACCAATCCTCTGACCGCGGGCCTTCCTTCTTGCTTCCCAGGCCCCCTCCCCAGACCAAGTGCCTGCTCCTTCTGAACCTGGCTTCCTGCCACTCAGGCTGGAGGGGTTTGGGGGTGGGGGTGACAGCTGTGTAAGCGATGGTGGCTGCCCCCTTCCTGCCCCTCCCCCCCAGCTGTCTCTCTCTTATGACAGCTGCCCAATCAAAGGGCCGGGGGCTTAGCCAGCTCCCCCCCCCCCATGCAGGGATCAAGTGTCCTCCCTGGCTTTGTTCTAGTGCAAGAACAATCCAGGGAAGGGGAGGCTCCTGGGGCCAGTTGAACCAAGTAGGCTGGCCCGCCCCTTGGGGGATTCCCTCTGCTCTACTGCCCAGCTTGTCTGGACCACTAGAGACTGTGGACTCACCTGGGCTGCAGAAGGTTGGGGGAATCCAGCCTCCACCTTCACCCCATATCTCATGCCCACCTTAGCACACTCCTAAGCAGTCTCCTTCAATCCTTACTCCAAAAACAGTCATGCTGGCCACACCCGATGATGCTGGGGAATGGTTAAGCATCAAGTATGGCAGGGTGTGGCAGGAGGGTGGCCACTGGGCCTTGGGGAGGGGGTGGACAGCCTTGAGGGCTCCTGGCTCCCTTGTCCATCCCATACTCTGGGCATGCTCACTCTTGTTGATTAGCCTGGTTGCCACAAAACTGTCCAGCATCCTCAGACCCATGGGCCCAGTCTCAGCCTTTCAGCCTCCCAGGATGGTCAACCATCCCTAGTTTGGAGGGAGGAGACGGCGTGGAGAGGGGGGGATGGATACAGAGACTAGGGGAGCAGGTGTAGACTCTAGTTTCTTGATTCAAGTCTGTCTGGTAAAGTGCCAGGGAAGAGGAACTAGAAGGGTTAGAAGCTGACAAACTGGTAGATGCCAGAAATGCTATACCCTCCTTAGAGCCGCTCAAGAGTCTTCACAGCTGAGGAACTCCAAGGCAGGCTCAGTGCTACTGTCTATCCAAGTTGATAAGGCTTTCTAATTACCATTCTTCATGCTGAAGACCATATGCTCATTCTGCTATTGAACAACCATCCATGGATCCCCAGGACCCAAGGGATAAAACCTGACTTCTATGCACCAGCAATGGAGGCCTCCGTGGTCCAGCCCATACCAGCTCCTCTTCTTGCATCTCTATCCCATCCCTCATACACACCAGGCCACAAAATAGGTCTAGAACGTCCAGGCTCCAGACAGAGCCTTTGCCTGGCTGACAATTCCGGCTTGAAATACGTATCCCCTTCACTCTCTGGCAAAAATTCTTCTCAAATGCCTCCTCATCCATGGAGCCCTCCAACCTTTCAAATCAGATGAAATTCCTCTGGCCTCTGTGCTTCCCAAAGATGGCTACAAGTCAAAAAAGGCCCAGTGGGCATTTCTGAGCCTGTCTTTCTGCTACAGAAGAATAGGAAATTTGAGACAGGGCCTGGCCCTGGGGAGGGGGTGGTTAGGGCTCACAGACCTCAGAACATTAGAGACCATCACACCTCAGAGTCTTGGGGCTGTAAGCACATGGGCAGAATCAGGACATGCCTGGTCAGAATTCCAAGTTCCGGCTCAGCATCCCAGCCTGTTCCTGCTGGTTTGCAGGCCCAGGGGCTCCCTGGGCATGTTGCTGAAGTGAGGAATTTGAGAGTTCTGAGTGGGTCCCCTAGCAGGAAGAGGAGCTGGTAGAAACGCTGTAGTGCGAGATAGGTTTCACAGCATCGAGGTGGGTTCAGCCAATCACAACTAGAAAAGGCTCACCAATCAAGAGCCGAACCTGAGGCCCAGGGAGGAGGGGAGTTGTTTAGGACTGCAAAGGAGGCGCCAGGCAGGCCAGGAGAACCATGGGCCCACCTGTACAGCTGGAGCCCTTTCCTTCCAGAGCTAGGTCACGGTGATGGAGGCTGGAGGAGGGCAGTGATGGGAGTAGGAGGGTGGACAGAGCCTGTCTGGGGACACAGGGTGGGGCAGGCCAGCCTCTCTGCGGCCTGGGCCTGCCAGGGTGTGTGGGCCGCTCGCTCCCAGCCCCCCACCCTGAGCATGCAAAGAGAACAATCCCCTTGTGTTTGGGCAGCCTGAGCCTGCATGCTGATGAAGGCTAGGGGGTGGGGGCTGGGATAGGGGTGCTTTGAAAGTTGAGGGGGTTCCAGGACCTAGAGGGATAATATCCTCAAATGGAGAAACAATAGACGACCCCCGCCCCCCGTGCTGGCCCTGAGGCCACCAGGGTGACCCCACTGAACAGCGAGAGCCAGAGATCAACTCCTGACCAATGCCTGGGGTCTAAGAGCTCTTTACAAGAGGAAGAAGGGCCCCTGGGGACACATGCCTTGTTGGTCCCGCAAGAAGGCAACCATCCGGGCTTGGTGGGGAGCCACAACCACACATTCTGAGGGAAGGGGTGTGAATGGATCAAGGGACATCCCCTTGGGGACCATTCCCTTGGGTGCCAGGGTGGGGCGGGGCCCTGGGTGCCACAGGTCTCAAGATGGCGGGCCTGGTTTAGGAGAGTGAGGAGGTGGGCACCTCCCTCTCCTGACCAAGGCATGCATGAGGGCCAGGCTGAAGGAAGGGGCAGAGCCCCTTCACCCCCCCACCCCACCACAGTACCCAGGCCAAGAAGCTAGGTCAGAGCTGGAGAGGAAGAGCCCCAGGGAATGAGGGACCACTTAGTGCTCGTGGCCTGGAGGTCTGTGTCTGGCTCCTCCAAGGACTGCGGAGAATGGGAAGGGGTGTGTGTGAGCCAGGAGCTGCAAAGAATGGCAAAGGAGAACAGAGACGAAGTAGAGAACCCCAACCTAGGGCATGAGGTCCAGAACGAAGAGCAAGCTCAAAGGACCGAAACAGCGAATAGGATGGGAGCCTCAAACCTGGTACCTAAGGTCCAAGAAACCCCTCCCTGAAGTGGGGTGTTCCCCTGGAAAACCAACGCCCCCCACCTGTGCAGGCCGCAGCCGTATTGGACAGGAACCGTGTTCCTCGCAGTGCCCCCCAGGACCACGGTCGGTGCACAACGGCGCGGGTTCCCCGCCCCCACCCCAGCGAACCCCCAAACTTCATGGCCCCGCGGTGCCCCGCCCGGCCCGCGCCTTACC